TTTCGTTGAACCCATAGCATATTCTCTTATGTTTAGAGTCTAGCTCGCCGACAATACCATTCCACTGTCAGTTGTAAAAACTTATGGAATATTAAACCGCCATTCGGTTTCAATCATTGGCAACGGATGTGTTGGTAAGACAACTCAAGCCAAAAAGGTTTATAATCAAGCTAATTTGAGGTCAAGATTTGACTGCCGTGCTTGGGTCTGTGTTTCTTCAAGCCACAATCACAAAGAGATGCTGAGAGCATAAAGCAGTTGAATACGATTAACTAATGAGCTACTTGAAATTTTGGAAAAGATGCAAGAGCAGGACTTGGAAAAAAAATCTACAAGCTAAATGTTACCTTGTGGTACTTGATGATATATGGAAGGAAGAAACGTGAGATTGTGTTGCTAGGGCCTTCCCTGATGTCCGTAGATCAAGTACATTTTTACTTACAAGCATGCGAATGCTCTTAACATCCCGTACGAGCCATGGCTCAAAGTCGCGGTCGCGGTCACGGCTTGAACAGTTCCACATTGGTCTTGGCATATCGGTCGCGGTCTCGGCGAGACGTGAATTTTTGAAATATTTAATATTTTAAAAATTTTAAAAAATATTATAATTAAAAATAATTAAAAATTAGTAAAAGTAATAAAAATTCAAGTTGACTTGAGATGATTCGGAGTGACTCGGCCGTTTCAACCTTTCACGGTGACGTCTCGACCTGTCATGTATCTCGAAAACGTTTCGTCGCCGTCTCGTCTCAAGCTAGGCCGAGACGTCTCGGTCTCGGCCGAGTCTTCGAACCTTGTTTACCTCTGCTTTTCCTTTGTGGGTCAGAGTGGAATCCTGGCATCAGCAACATTCCACATAATTGGCGAAATGTATAGCAGTGTCACTAATCACAATGTCTTGAAAGATTCCATGAAATTCCTTTGCAATACATTGACATAAGAATTGCAAGATAACAAATGATAGCAGAAATTTGCTCAGATAAGTCCGAGATTTTATTCAAAAGGATTGTTTGCTTATTCATTATAAACTGTCATCTCTAGTCAAAAAATCTGCAAGATAATTCTCATCAGATTTTATTAGTTCAATTTCAATCATACCGAATCTCAACATGCCAGTTAACTATATTAGTCATGATATTTAATCTGTCCCGTAGCAGCTTACATGTGAATTACCGTGTGAAAGTTGGTAATGAATAGATAAACAAGTATTATGAAGGTGAGTTAGGTGAGTTGGCCACTAGGTGAAACTTAAAATGCAGACCTGGTTGGGAAAAAAAAAAGGGCAAATTCCACTTTACCCCCCTGTGATTTAGCTTTTTTTACATAACCCCCCTATGGTTTTAAAATCTATACATAACCCCCTTATGGTTTGGATTAAAGTGTCAAAGTGACGGGAATGATCATTCATAACGGCGTCATCTAAAATATCAAAATTACCCTTATGTAAAGTTGAAATTTATGTATTAACCAAGGGGGGTTATGTGTATATTTTGAAAATCATAAGGGGGTTATATGGTAAAATATTAAACCATAAGGGAGTTATATGGTAAAATATAAAAATCATACGGGGTTAATGTGTCATGTATTTATAAGGGTAATTTCGACATTTTTAGAAGTTCCGTTACGAGTGACTATTTCCGTTACTTTGACGCTTTAATCCAAACCATGAGGGGGTTATGTATAGCTTTTGAAACCATAAGGGGATTATGTAAAACAAGGGTAAATCACAGGGGGGTAAAATATAATTTACCCAAAAAAAAAAGAAGTATTATTACACCGTAAAATTAATAGGATGAGTGCAGTAGAGGGTAAAGGTAACGTGCCCGTTTTCATCTTTTTTTGTCTTCCTTTTTCTTTTTCTCCTTGATTTCAATGATATTCATCGAGATTCCTCAACAAATATAGAGAGGGCACTGCAAGGGATCAAACATTTATCATATGTTGTGTAGCTATTTCAGATATGCATGTCATTATCAAAAAAAGGAAAAAAGAAAAAAAAAACATGCATGTCAATAATCTGAAAAGGCATGACATCAGGAATTACACGTGCTCAATCTAATTTAATACAACAAAATAAATTAACATTTCAGTACATAAATATTTTATAAATTCATTCGTAAAAGTTAAAGCCGTGGATATATAAAAGAGTCACTTCAACTTTCCTTAATCTTTATCTATAACCAGGCATATCAACGGGTTGGTCTTATCCAAATCTAACCAAAACTCAATATATTTGAATAGAGTTTGAATTTAATTTGTCAAATCCAAACCCTGTAAGGGATTCATGGATTTTGGTAGAATCTAATTTTTTATTATCTAAACCTAAAACCAAATTCATACCAAACTCTATTCACACCCATGTATAAATAAAATATATACATATATCTATTAGTAAGGAGTGCGCACTGTCACTAGACACTTTTAAAAAATTCCTTGTTATTAAGATGATTATTTTTGTTTGAGTACCTACAGTGATGATTGGCCTTGGATTATACAGCCAATTTCATTGCCAAAGCACTTTTAAAAAAAAAAAATTTATTTTCCCAGCAGAGAAGGGTGAGACTCAAGAATAGAGAAGAAGATAAGGAGATTTAAACCCAAAACCTCTAATTTCTAAAATTATAATTCTAACCACTAAATCAATGCCTTCTCAACTTACTTTCAATAATTATAGAACCATTAATATGGAAGGCAATTTTGGTTGCCATTACCATTAAAATCGGCAATACCATTTGCCTCATCCATACTTTTCGGTTTGGCTGTTTTTTCCCCCCTGAATTAGAATTAACACCTAGCAAACGCTTAAAAGACTTATTTCACTACTAGGTCTAATTGCTTAATGATTCACTTACTACCAGATCTTAATGCTTGATACATAACCTGTAATTAAATTTTCAATTCTCCTTTCTCTCATATGCGGAAGTAAGCCTTCAACGAATCTATGTTCTGTGGATTGAATCCCCCAAAATGAAGCTCATGAAAAGAAAAATAGCTTAGATATTTGGCACAAAAAAAAGTGCCATACAAAGCAAGAAAAATTTCATTAACGCAATTTTATCGCACTAGGATAAAAAGCGATTGTAATTCTGTGTTGCATGAACTCATTGCACTGGGAAAAAAATGCGATTAAAAAGTTCATGGCACTTTCTATGGCACAACTAAATTCAGAAAAATTGCCATTTTCATGGCACTTTTTTGAGAATGCAACCAAAAGTTTATTGTCAAGGCATTTCATCTGAAGTGCCATGAAGAATATATTCTACAAATTTGAGATTCTAAGTTCACTATTCTTCTGCTTGACCACCACCACTCTCTTGGGAGAGTAAAGCTGACTAAAGTCTGGCTCATCATGTACCATTTTACTCTTGAAACCTAGTCCCATCTGCAAGATTGGATAGTCAAATATTCTGAGGTTAGAGACGTTGGATACCTTGTCATCATCTTGCCCATGAAGCCTACTGACAAAACTTTTTGTAATAAGGTCAAGCTTATCAGGAGTGGATGTGTGCTTCAGCTCTTCTGGCAACACTTTTAACTAGTTGCAGCTCCTGATTCTTAGGCACCGCAGTTGTGGTAATGCACATTCTCCACCTTTAATGCATATAAAGGATCATGGTATCCACGCCCTCTGATTTCAGGGAACTTCGACTGGTGAAAGTGATTCCCAGAAATTGTTAGATGCTGCCTCCCATTTTCAATTTCATTTTATGGAACGACAGCAGTCCCAAATTCTCTAGCATTGGCATCATGGTTCAAAGTCACGGGTCGCGGTTGCGGTAGCAGCCCGGACCGTTTCACATTGGTCTCGGCATATCGGTCGCGGTCTCGACGAGACGCAAATTTTTGAAATATTTAATATTTTAAAAATTGTAAAAAGTATGATAAACAAAGATAATTAAAAAATTAGTAAAAATAATAAAAATTCAAATTGACTCGGGATGACTCGGAGTGATTCGGCCGTTTCAACCTTTCACGGTGACGTTTCGGTGAGTCAAGTATTTCGAAATCGTATCGTCCCGATATTGTATCGGGAGGGCCCGAGACGGTGACGACTCGGCCGAGTCTTTGAACCATGGAGGTAAATGATGAAAACTTGACCTAAACGTTGATGTAGGGATTCTTTCCCTTTCCCTTTGCTAACGCTGAGGTAGGGTAACTTGGTCATGTTCTGTTGAAGATTCTTATCTTCATACACTTACAATAAACTGTTAGGAGAAAGTTGATAGTTTAACAGAAGGATATTTTTGAAAGACGATGAAACGAATTGTACAGATGGTTAAGAGAATTGGATTTTGGGCTGCTTTTCGATTCTTAAAAGAGAAGGGTAATTAATCTGGCACTAGAGTTGTAAGACATGCAGCCCCGGGGAGGAGGGGGTAATATAGGTAGGTATAGAGATGGGAAAACAAAATTTGGACTAATCAGGTGAGTAAATCTGTTTAAGGCATAGATTCTTAACTCTGCTTTTCAAGCAATGGCTTGGCCTTTGTGTACTAACTAATTTGGTTTGCCACTATTCTGAAGCGTAAATCAAGCAATCAGCACTTCCTTTATTTTTTTTTCTGTTTTTGAAATTTCTCACATCTCGCTTCCTGATTGTAAAATCATTTTTTGAATCAAAAGCTTCTTTCTTTTGACTAGGTTAGTTGCTCTTGTTTAAGAAGCTGAAGATATTACTGGAGGGGAAATGGGACTATGGAATCGAAGCTGTCTTCAAAATTAGTTCAGAGACAATTGTGGATTTCCTCATGCTAGAGCAAGGTCGGGGACTTGCAATCATCCTTTACTTACAATTTACAAACTGAATATAGATATATTGTAAATCACTGATTCCTTACCTACAAACCAGATACAGGGCCTTTACTTTAGCTTCTTCTGCTTCATAAAAATGTATGATGCAGATACTAATCTGGCTTTGCACACTGTTCTTGAAAGATAAGAGCCTCTCCTCCATTTCTGGTTCTTAATCTTTTATAGAAAAGGAAGGTCTCTTAGATTAGATGGCTGACACCATTATCTCCCTTGTTATTGAGAGAGTTGTTGATCTGCCGATTAAAAAATCTGCTTTCCTGAAAGATGTTGGACTACAAGTAGAAAGACTACGAAATGATCTGAACTGGATGCGATGTTTCCTGAAAGATGCAGATCAAAGGCAAGATGAAGATGGGAGGATTCACAACTGGGTTTCTGAAATCAGAGCTGCTGCCTACGATGCTGAGGATGTCATTGAGATCTTTGCCAGCAAAGTTGAGTTCATAACGGACAAGGGACTCGTCACCAAATTGACATATTATCCCTTGAAAATTGTGAACCTCTGCAAGATTGGTAAAGAGATCGAATCTTTACAGATGAGGCTCAATGGCATTGTTGATAGCCGTGAAAAGTATGGTATCAAAAATCTTGGGGAGGGAATGAGTTCGCATGGAGAAGAGCTTCGACGGCTTCGGCGATCCTCTCCTTTTAGCGAGGACAAGGACATAGTGGGCTTTGAGGAGATAACGAAATCCCTGGTGGCAGAACTTTTGAAAGAGGACAAAAACCGTCGCGTGATTTCAATCATTGGCATGGGTGGTGTTGGGAAGACAACTCTAGCCAAAAAGGTTTATAACCATGTTGATGTCAGGGAAAGATTCAACTGCCGTGTTTGGCTCTGTGTCTCGTCAAGCTATGATCACAAAGAGATGCTGAGATCGATCATAAAGCAATTGAATACAATGAGTAAAGAGCTACTTGAAACTTTGGAAAAGATGGAAGAGCAAGACTTGGAGCAAAGGAAAAAATTCTTAAATTGTGATAGAAAAAAAAATGTATTCTACAAAGGGGGTAATTTGTGGAGTTGATTCTAGACTTGTGATCTTCGCATTTGTGAAATGCGAGTTCAAGTACCTCGCATTTCACAAATGCGAGGTCAGTAATTTCACGAAAAAAGAAAAATAAATCGCATTCTTCTAATGCGAGGCTTCTGATCTCGCATTAGGAGAATGCGAGATTTATTACCTCGCATTGCATGAATGCGAGGTAGTCTTCCCAGTATCGCATTTGTGTTCAGGCCCTTTACTCTTCAGTCCAGACTCCCTTTACTCTTCAGTCGAGAGTCTTCAGTCCAGTCTTCAGTCCCTCACTCTCAGATTAAATGTTGGTCTGAGCTTTGTCATCGGAAATCAGAGCCACAGCATTGTCGTCGGAAGCCGTCGGACTTCTCCTCGGAAGCTCTGGAATTTTGTAGAGGTGCAGCGTATCTCCTCAGGCGAACTTCTTCCCTTCCGAAGCTGTCATCGGAAGCTCTCTGCCATTGCAGAGGTTCCCCTTTGGGAACCCATCTGTGGTAGCTAGCTCCATTTAAGTCCGACATCTCTTTTCTTCTCCATTTGAACATTCCTTTCACCAGAAACAGCATAAGAGGTAAGTAAGATTTTTGTTTTTTGAGTTTTAATTTATTTCTGGGATTATTTGTTTGTACGAATTGAAGTGGCTTTTATGATTTGGCAAATTATTGGATATTGTTGTTGTTAGGGTTGGCAATTTATAATGCATGTGGAATAGATTACATGTAAGGGGGAAAAAATAGGAAAAGAATCCAAGCCACTTGTGGAATATCTGTTTCTATGGTCCAAATCTAGAAAAAAAATTAGCTAATGTGCATCACCATTCAAAATCATTTAACTAGAACAATGAATGATAGCAAATAGAGGGGTGCCAAAACTGTGCCCTTTTTACTTGAAAGGTATATAATTAACTTTTTCTTCATAATTTTGCTACTGATTTAGTGATTATATTGCTGTAGTAGTTTTATGTCTATTTTGGAAGATTTTCTAGCTATTTGTTGTCTTGTGGAAGTTTTCTAGCTATGAAGCGTCAAAAGGATATACTTTGAGAAAACATTCCAATCTTGTTGCCATTGTCGTATTCTAGCTACCACTTATCTAGGGTTGTAGATGTTTTGAAATTATATCATAATGTACTGTGTTTTCATTTGTTTCCTATGTATTTAGATATTTTCCTTGCCATCATTTGCAGGACCCCGAATTATTTCCTTCCATGTCATTTGTAGGACCTTTTTTTTATTTTCTATAAGTATGTTTTCTATACCTATGTTATTTAGTTTACCAACGTATATTTTCTTTGAAATTGGGGGAATAGATCCAAAAAGGTATATCGGAACAAGCAAGATCTACGGGAACGAGGTGGTTCATCTGAACAAATCCCTCATTGCACCCCAGATCCTCTGCTCCAGTACCTTATCTTGGTTTTCTGTGATCTCCATCATATTCATGTAGGTGCATACAAAGTTTTCGACACAAGCCAGGAGACTTGAAGAGGCTTTGATTGGTACCACTAGGAAGTTGTCCGCACGAGTGCATCGTCAGAATCTGAGGCAAATCATTGGGTAAGTCATGTAGTTTACAAGTAGATTTAATTGTAGTCATATTAACGTTCTAATTTTTTGAACTTTGCTTGGATTCGTTTTATGGTGAATTCATGAATGTATAGTGAGACCCTCTACTGTAGTATATTTTTTAATTGCATGTTATGTCGGTTGACAGGGGAGTATAAGAAATTACTGTTGTTTCACACTCTACTATATACATTATATTGTTATTGTAGGTTTGTCAAATATCACAGTTTCTTGTGTTCTTTAAGAAATTATTGTATATGAAATTATTGTACCGTATTTGAAGTGGTCTAAATTATGTCATATTTCTCAATTGTTTGAAAATCGATGTGCCTATGTTGGTTGGCAGGGAGTTTTAGCCCAGTTACAGGGGAAACTCTGTCAAAAAATTTTTAAAATATTTTTGGGTGTTTTTGATTAGTGATTGCCTTAAGAGTATAATAAGACGAATTGGCGACAATATGGACTGAAAAGGTAGAATGCTTGGAAACGTTAAATAAAACAAGATATCTGGCCGCATTTAATAAACTTATGCTCAATTTAATTAGGAATTGTTGACTAACATTTTGGCATGATTCGTAATAATGTATAGGCGGTTAGAGGGAATATTAACTTAGGTATAGAACTAAAAATATGTATACAAGACAAGCATGTATCACATATGCTTGTACTACTAAAATATGAGAAAATTCTTAAATTGTGATGAAAAAAAAGATATTCTACAAAGGGGGTAATTTCATGCCAACTTGTTATTAATGACAAGAACTCGCTCAAACAATTATACTTGAATAACAGCTCCCTTATATCCTTACAAATTTTTAAACCCTGTGTACGAACTTTATATTAAACACCCCTTACTAAAGCTAACATTTATGGAGGTAAATGCAAGGTTTGAAGTGAAAATGCTTAATATTCCCGCTGCACTACTTTTGTCTTTTATACCAATCCTATATTTAGTATCGCTATTTGGAACCTATACCTTTTGCAAAAAACAGTGGGATTTTCTGAACTATTTATGATTTGACAATTCTAGTTATTATTAATTCCCTAAACACCCCTTTCCTCGATTTTTAGTCTTCTTACGTTAACCTCTGTTTAAATTATCCTCATCATTCTAACCATTATGTATGGAAAAAACAAGAGGATAATAAAACTATACCTACACTCTTGAATGTGATGCAAAGTTTAGATTTGGTGTGAAATTTGGATGAAAAAATCATGTGGGTTGTGCTATTTTGTTGCATTTTTTGCTGGGTAATTCAGTGGTAAATTTGGACCACATAAAAAAGTACCTATTGTTATGTGTTATATATTCTTGTACCACATGAGCTAACTTATGTTATTCCAAAATAGGGAGTCTTTTCACACGTATGTCTATAGAAAGACCTCTGCGAGTGTCTGTTTATTGGGGAGGTAGTATACACTACGAGGATGGGTCAATTTGTTACTTGCCTCGTACGTGCAACCGTACATTCTCATTACGATCCAGAATTGGATATGATGAGTTGGTGGATAGAATTTATCAATATATGGGGGTGGATAGGGGGTTGTTCAAGTTTAATATATTTCTCCGCCAACCTTGTGGCCGGAGCTCTTATAATGTCTCCCCAGTGGTGGATGATGAAACTCTGGAGATAATGTATGATGTATGGAACGAAATTGTCCCATACATCGCAGAACTCTATATCGAGAAGGAGGAAATCCGCCAAAATCCTCGAGTCACCGGGACATTTATTTCACCAAATACCAATTGTGGTCCGATGATGTCGCTTGTCCATGCATGCATGGATCCAACAAGGTTTCGACCAAACTTTAGTACAACAGTACTTGAGACAACATCGGTATCACAAATGGCCCAAGGGGATTGTGTTAGGGATTCGTTAGAGCCACGTCTTCCATCAGGCCTAAGGACGGATGTTGAATATGTTCAAGGCCTAGATTCGATTCAAAGTTTTAGAGATCGAGAATCACCGGAACATGATGGTAGTTATGGCTTGGATTTCACTGCCAGTCCAAGTCATTGTAACAGCCCCCTATTTCAATCCTCGGAGCATGATGTGGAAGATGTAGAGGAATCTGAGTCGGTTGATGTGTCAGGCAGTGACTCGGATGGTGAAAATGAACAACGTGGAGTCCACCATAATCTCGAGAACCATCAGCCCTTTGATGCATCTGGCAACCTGTCATATCCTTCACGAGGATTGAAATTCTTCTCTAATCTTGGAAACATAGATGATGACGAGCATGTCACTGATGAAAGTGAGTTGGAGCGCATTGTGACATTCAGTGAGAAGAATAATAATATAAGGATGCATATGAGATTTGAAAGCAAACAACAGCTGAGCAGGGCTATTAGATTGTGGTCTATCAATAATAATAGGGAGTTTAGGGTTGTTGAGAGCAAGAGGAACACTTGGGTTGCCAAATGTAAATCTGCATTCGAAAGGAGTTTGACCACCGCGGCCGACTCATCGGAACCTCCATGCGATTGGTGTGTCCGAGCAGTGAAAAAAAAGACACATGGATTGTGGCAAATAACTAAGTGGGTGAAGGATCACAATTGTCTAGGTAATTTGATCAGTAATAGCAATGCTAGCCTCACATCGTCGGTTATTGCTAGACATATTGTTCATAGCATTGAAGACGATCCTGGGTACAAAGTAAAGAGCATAGTAAGTGATGTTAAAGAAGTGTTGAAGGTGGATGTTTCTTATAAAAAGGCTTGGTACGGCAGACGCAAAGCTATTGAATTTGTATTTGGTTCTTGCGATGCCAATTTTGCCGACCTACCAAGATATGTTGATGCACTTATGAAGTCAAATCACGGTACTGTGATCAGGTGGTTGCACCATTCTGATAGTACGGATCACGTGAAGACATTTAAGTATGTGTTCTGGGCCTTTGGACCAGCTATTGATGCATTTCACATGTGTCGACCGGTTATATGTGTTGATGGCACTCATTTGCGAGGCGAATATAAAGGCAAACTACTTGTTGCTGTCACGCAAGATGCCAACAACCGGATTATTCCAATAGCTTATGCCATAGTCGACGAAGAGACTATTTCTAGTTGGTCTTGGTTCATGGAGCAATTTAGATACAACGTAGCCCGTGATCGGTGTCCTATTTGTGTCATTTCAGATCGGCATCATGGTATCATTCATTCGATGACACATTTTGACTATTGGCAAGAACCTTTGGCCTTTCATAGGTTTTGCCTACGACACGTTAGGAGTAACCTAATGACTCATTTCAAAGGTTTGCACCTAAGAAGGTTGTGTTGGGCAATGGGAAGAGCCAGACAATTGCGCAAGTGGCGGGCATTTAAACGAGAATTGAAGAGCACGTTTCCAGACGCATGGACTTAT